CGCTGCCTTGAAGTTTTAGTGTACAGCCTTCACTTTCACTAGAGACACCTGAGGTTCTCAAAAAGAAACATCTGCTCGTCCAGAGCCCCACGGGGACCCATGGGGGGATCAGGGAGGCTGTGCGGGGCTCTGGTGGAACTGGCCCTGACAGTGATTGTAGATGCTACTGGGGAAGACGGAGGGTGGGAGCTGGGCAAGGGGGCTCCAGGCTGCAGCCGCACTTGGCATTTGAACCTGGAAAGCTGGGTTTCACATGCCATACACACAGTATGGGGGAACCTTATTCAGGGTTCTTCTGCTTGCAAGGTGCAGGAACTCATTCAAACAAGCTCAGGCCCCAGCAGGAAATGTATGATTTAGATGCTAGACTTTCTCACAAAGCCAAGGGCAGCAGGGCAGGGCTCAGGAGAGACAGGCCAAGAACTGGAGCGCTGTCAGGAGCTGCTTCCTCTGCTCTCTTCTGTCTGGGCCTGCAAGGTCCAGCCTCTCTGCCTCTCAGTTCATCCACTCTGGTCACCTCTCTCCATGGACCAGTCTTCCCTGTTCCTCAATGCCCAGGCTACTGCTGGTCACCCAGTCCACAGCAGCCCAGCTTGGGCAATCAGAAGAGCACCTTGAACACTGTTCCAATTCCTGGGAACCAATCTGGTTGGCCCAGCTTCATTCTCCCCGTCCGATGGGCCTCGGCAGAGGTGCATATGTGCACGTGTGTGCATGTGTGTGCGGGGAGGACCTTATGATCAAGCATGGCTGTCAGAGCCTGCCCCCGTGAGCGGCTGGAAGGGCAGGTCTCAGAGGGGCGGTGAAGGCTGGGAAGACCCACCTATAATACATACCAATGTCACCCTGTTTAAGGCTACTCTGGACAAGAGACACACAGAGCATGGGTCTGAGAGGTGATCCGGCCCTGCCAAAGCTGCAAGCCTGAACCAATCGCTCACCACTCCTGTCTGTTTGCTTATATCTATGAGGAAGTAAAAATCTCTCTTTCTCCTTCTGCCTTGGCAGTATTGTAACGATACATAATGTAGTAGCTAGGTCAAGCACATGGTATCTTAAAAAATAGCACAAGGTGTTATTATTATTTAAAAGATAGGTATTTCTTTACTGATGAAATATATTTGTCCTTCTTCCAGCTTAGCAAGGGTGTATCGAGATTTTCAAGAACTCCTCATGGATGCACCAGAGAGCCAGCACCTTGGTCAAGTTTGGACAGAGCTCCGAACCTTGTCCCAGTTCATGGACACCCTCCGGACCCACCCTCAGAGAATCGCAGGTAAGCTGGGCTTCAGTGCTCTCCACCATTACTTGCTTCACTCAGCGGAGAGACTGAAGATACAGGGAAGAGTGGGAAGGTTTGGTGGAAAAAATACTAAAGGACGCAAGAAGGGACCGGTTCTAGAGGCGGCATGAGCATCGCCTTGGAAAAGATGCCTCTTCTCCCACGCCAGGAAGGGAGAAGGCAGGAAGTTGGGAAGGAGGGTAGGAAAGGTCTCATCCCAGGTAAGTCTAGAGGCAGAAAGAAGAACGCTAAGGGAGATGGCACTCTGGGGAGTATGCAGCTAGGTCAAGGCCCAGAAGCACGGGGAGAAGGGTTTGCAGAGTTTGGCAGAGGTGTGCAAGAGTTTCACAGAGGCCTGGAGAGACAGTTAATGGGACATGTGGAAGCAATGCCACGTATCAGCAAGGAGCCGGGGAGGTCAGAGACCGCATGTTCTCTTGACATACAGATGTGTCATTGTACTGTTTCTCCTGGTAATATTTAGCACCCAGGCCCTGAGGCAGAGCAGGTGGAGAGAGAAGCAGGGCTGGGGTGTGGAGGGAGGTACCACACAAGGTCAAGTGGGCACGGAGCTGAGGGCAGTGACTGGACCATATGTACCAGGTCCAGGCTGCATGAGGCAGTTCAAGAAGCCAGAGGGACTGAGACTGGCTGGGGGAATGGACAGTCCAGGGAATAGAGGTCTCATGGGCTCCACGGCCCTGTGTAAGTAACTGAGGTCAGAAAGTGAAATACGTGAACTCAGGATTTTGAAGGCAGGCAGGAAGGGTGGGAACAGGCCCCTGAGTGTGGCCGTGGTGAAGCGGTGCCACGGTCAGGGTCAGGGTCAGGGTCAGGGTCAGGTGAGGGGGAGGCAGGAATGAGGAGCTGGGCTGCCGGCACCCACATGGACCCTGCTGTGGTTGTGCAGGAAGATGGCAGGAGCCATGCGCCTGGGTAGAGAGCAGCGAGGAGGAGGGAGGGAGGAGTTTGTCTCTTTTCCCCGTGGGAAAGTGAATGAATACACAGAAACCAGCAGCAGCAACAACACCAACATGTCTCTTTAAAAGTCTAAGTGGATGTTGTGCGGTGTCACGTCTGTAGCAGGCTCCTCTGAGAATGGCTAGAGGGACAGGACATGGCAGCTGGAACCCCTTCCCCAGAGGGGTGTAAATGAGCGGTTGAGAGGAATTGAAGACTCTGGGAATCCGGGGATTACTGCAGCCTGGTGGGTGGAGAGAGCCCTCCAGGAAAAGGCTGCTGGGAGCAGGAAGATCGCTCAAGGGACAGGGCTCAGAGGCTGGAGGACAGCAGTTTGGAGCTTCTGGGAGACATATGCTCCTAGAATGGGGTGGGAGGTGACTCTAAGGATGACCTTGGAGGTTGACAGGGATGAGGAAGGGGATGGGAGGGGCTGGACAGAACAGCTTCCGCTCTGAGTGCCAAACAACACAGGTGGGAGAATGATCTAAATCAGCCCCCAGGGCTCCTCCCCCCAGCGGTGCAGCTTCTTCAACGTACAGCACACATTAGGCGCCTCCTGTGAGCCAGGCACCCGCTCCTCTCTGTGGGTGCAGAGATGAGTCAGGCCCAGCGCCTGCCCACAGAGGGCTCACACAGCAGAATTGGAAAGAGACAAGTGAGCAAACACTTGTGAGCACAGCATGTGGGGGTGCCCGGTAGAGGGAAGTGGGGGGCTTCAAGGGCCCCTGGGAGTCAGCAGGAGAAACTGCTCCAAAGAGAATTGACTCTTCCTCCCATCTGGCCCCCGTCTGCCTTCTCTCCCCTTGAAAGCAAGAAAGGACAGGAGTATGTTCAGATTGGGGCATTAAGATTGCTTAATTACATTCTAATTGTTCCAAAAATAGTAAAGCCCAGACTTTATGTGGTTATTTTCTACAAACCACATTACAAACACTACATTCTTTGCTGCTCTGGGTAGAAGTTTATTTTAGTGAGCTCAAGTTTGAAGAACCTTATAAGGTATGAGTACAATTAGCATTTCAATAGTAAGAAACTACCCTCCTCCCATCCCCCCCATCACCAACCAGAAGGTGTGTTTTTCCAGGTTTAAACAAGCACATGAGGACATGGGCTGTCCAACTCTTGGCATGACTATACAGCTCCTGCGTCCAGTGGGGTCTGTGATGAGGTAGACATTTCATTTAAGTGTCTGATCATCACTTGAGCCTTGCTGGAAGGAAGTGTAAAGGAAGTAATTTCAAACCACAATTTCTCTGTGGTTTTTACAATGTGTATATAAGAACCAAAATCACTACTTCTTAACCCCAAAGCAGGACTGATTTTGCATTGACATTCGAGAGGGCCCTTCTGCAGGCCTTGGGCTGTGGGTGGAATTTCCTAACAAAAAGTAGGTCCAGGGTAAGGGCTCAGGAAGGCCGGCCAAGACTCCCCAAAGGCTAGGAATAGAGGCTCCAGAAGCCCTGACCTTAGTGTCTGGGAGAGGGGACAGAGGTCCATCCCCAAGTAAGGGACACGGTCTCTGAAGGAATTCCAGGCCAGAGACTGAAGCCCACTGTTGGGGCCACAGACTATTTCAGAGTCTTTCCGAGAGTCATCTGGGGACGTTGCTCGCTGTGAGCATCCTCAGCCCAAAGCCAAGCCTTTGAAAGCGAGGTGGGGTGTGACGCTGGGGTGTGCTTTTGCCTGTCAGTTCCCCGGTCACCTGGGAAAATATGCCAGTGGCTGACCCGGGCAGCATTTTCCTTTCTTAGCAAACCTGTAGTACTGCATTCTCAGCAGGGGAGGATTAACGGTAAAAGACCAGACATGGTGCCCCCTCCCTTCTCCCCCCAAGCAAGTTCTGTGGTCTCTCAATCATCTTTAAAACACCTTCTTCGTGTGAGCCCCACACATTCCCTCCTGCTGCCCAGCCCTCAGCTCCCCTTAGATCCGTGGGCCTCAGCAGCCCCCACCGCCCAGCCTCTAATCCTCCCAGGGAAGGGAACAAGAAGAACCACATTTTAAACTAAATTTATTTTTCTTTCCTCAGGCTCTCAGTTCCAATGTCTCCCTCAGGAGTCTAGCAAAGCTCTGTCTGGTATCGGCCACCTCTTGCGCTGGGGCCCAGCTCTCCCCGCAGAGTGGCCCCAGCCCTCCTCAGGTGCAGGGTGAGCCAGCACGCTCCTCCCCTGCTCCCAGGGCCTCCACCCCCCAGTCACCTGGGTGGTCTATTGTGCAATGCCCGGCCAAATCCAGCCCGTTCCCCTTGTTTTGCCCCTTTCCCTGCAAGATATTTGTATGTAAGGTCAGGTGAGTGAGTTAAAGAATAACTAAGAGATAAACAGTCAAATGGGGTCCTGACTTTCAGGTCACCACAAGTATTTACTGAGTGCCTTTTGTCATTCAGTGGACATTTATTGAGACCCTGATTCCGTGTCAGGCTCTATTGCTGGGTGTCAGAGAGAGGTGACCTCAAGGCCTTACATCTGTGTGCTCAGCAGTGCTAGGTGCAATGAGGTGTGTAATAAAGCAGGATCCATAGCCCCCGACTCTCAAGAGGCCCTGGTGTGCGTGCGTACGTGTATGCGTGCGTACGTGTATGCGTGCCTCCGTGCGTGCGTGAGTACGTGCGTACGTGCGTGCGGGGGTGTGCGCGTCCGTGCTGGGGACGGTGTTGCTGGAATGCGAGCACACCAGGCTGGTAGATGGGAGTGACTGGGAGAACAGTAATTGAGCTGTGCCTCAGGGGAAGGAGGAAAAGCAGGGGGAGCTGGGTTTGAAGGTAGCAGGATTTATGTCATGGAAAAGGAGGGAGGCAAGAATAAAAGAGAGCAGCCCCTCCCAGAGCCCTCCTCCTCCCTTCGGTCCCTGTGTTCAGGTCCCCCCAAACCCCTTGGACTTATCCTGTGCAAAGGGGAGTGACGGGGGCTACCGGCTGGCACGGCTCTCAGGAGCACCCACCGGTCCGTGCGGTGGACCCCCGGGGCTGGTTAACCCCTGCCCCAGCTGTGTGGGCAGGCCTGTGGTGCTGACCCAAGACCTTTCAAGAGGAAATTATCAGCAATGTCAATCTGGACAAGGCGCTGTACAGGGGAAGTCAAAACCTGCAAATGGAAAGGATGGCTGTCAGGCACTCGGGGGACAGGATTCTTGGCTGCCTGGGGAGGGGAGAATTTGAAGAGGGAGAGGATAGGATGCAGTGGAGTTGGGAGCAGGAAGCAGTGGGGCGTGTGATGATTAGAGCTAGTCAGAGAAGAGCTAGGAGATAAGCAGTCACCAGGCTCCTGGAGACCTTAGGTGCAGAGATCAGCATTTTCATGCAACCCAATGCTTTCCCTTCATGTTGAAATGGCTTCACAGAGATCTAGGCCTGTTGGACTCTTCTCTGGCCAGCGCCCCATGAACTGCAGCAGTGGCTGTCTTGAGGCTGCGTGCTGGCCCTGGGGGAAGCAGGCAGAGGAAGAGGGTGCTGGGTGTTTGTGTGAATCTCCTGGGAGGGGTAAGCATGATATTAATGTATCAGAATAAGCATTTGTTGAGTACTCACCATCTTAGGGCCTGGGAGCTAAGCACTCCAGGCTCCTTTACTCCATGTTGCTCCTACAACAATCTTGTGAGGTAGATGCAGAAAGTGCCGACACAAGGAGAGGCTCAGTCACCTGCCAAAAGGTCACCTTAACAGTTAGCAGTCCTTTATGCCTCCTTATAAAGGAACTCCTGCTTCCCATGGGTTTTGAGAGGAGCTGGATTGCATATGAGGGCTCACAGGGCAAGCCCCGTGATGGGCCATCTCCTCTTTCCACACAAAGCTGTTCTTGCTCTCAACAGCCCCATCTCTCAGTTCATGACAACAACCTGAGCATCTCAGCCTGAGCTGAGATGGCAGAAATGCTAAGAAGGGTCGCCTATCCCATGACAACTGCAGTGTAGGCAGAGCATATACCTCCTGCAGTCCTAGACCAGGGTTTAGGGTTTGGCACTGTTGACATTTGGGGCCAGGTAATTCTTTGTGGGAGAAAGAGTTGTCCCATGCATGGCAGAATGTTTAGCAGCATCCCTGGCCGCTACCCACCAGCACCTCCCCAGCTGTGACAACCAGAAATGTCTTTGGATATTGCCAAATATTCCTGGGGCGGGGGGAGGACAAAATAGCCCTGCTCCAGCTTCCCGCTTGCCCCCCTTGAGAGGCCCTGTCCTGGCCCAACCCCACAGAGCATCTGCCACCCCCACCTACCCCCAGCTCCCTTTTTCTACCTTCTGTGACTTCTCGTGGAATTGTGCCCAGCTCCCTCAGCTGTGCTGTGTTGAGCCTACGAGCAAGAGCTCTCCCCATCCCCAGATGCTCCCAGGGAGCCCAAGACCTGAGCCTTCTTCCGAGAGTCAAGTTAGGAATGTTTCCGATCACTTCTAGCTGTTTTCCCTTTCCGACCTAGCTCCTCTTCAACACCGTGTTCTTTCATTCATGTACAGGAAGAGGAATACGAATAAGGGATATCCTAAAAGATGAAGAAACACTGACACTATTTCTCATAAAAAACATCGGCCTGCCTGACTCTGTTGTCTACCTTCTGGTCAACTCCCAAGTCCGTCCGGAGCAGGTAGGTGGCTGTCACTGGCGGGGAGCCTGAGAGAGGCCTTCACACCCAGAGCCCACGGCTTACACTCTGTATTTAGAAGAACACCAGGGGTCACCTGAGATAGTGCACGCTCTCATCATAGGACTCTGAAGCCGCACACATCCTGGCAACACTTAGAGCCTCTCAGGTTTTTATCACTGGAAGGAACCTTAGGAGTCATGTGGCTGGAGACCTCTTACAGGTGACAAAACCAAGGTTTATTCATTTACTCAGCCAGTAGTTAGGAACAAGGCAGGCAAAGCCCCAACCCTGGGCGACAGTCACATGAGTAGTTACCGCTCTGCCACGTGTCTCTGGTTGTGGTAGGTGCTGGGAGGACAACCCAGCAGGGTCAGGAGTTAGAGAGGGATGGCAGCAGTGTGGGACAGGCAGTCCTAACAGGATGGCCAGGGACGGTCTTCCTGAGATGGCGTTTGAGCAGAGTTGACTGGAGGGAAGGCAGCCGTGCAAACTGACAGGAGCGTTCTGGGCTGAGAAACTGGCAGTGCAGGCCCTGCAGGTGCTGAGGTGACCTCCTGAGGTTCTAGAACCTGCTTCTGCTATTCTCCTGGACCACTTTCTCCTCAGGGCCCAGCAAACTCCTTCTACCCGCCGGTGCTTTTCTGACCTATACACCTCAAAGTGTTTTCCATCCCTTTTAATAATCTCCTTTATTTACACAGAGCGTTTTTACCACTGACACATGACTTTCAAGTCTGTTAGCTGCTTTGTTCTTCACAATGACCCTGAAATGGGTCAAACAGATGGGGAGACTTCGGCGTCCTGTGATGGGGTGGTTTGTGCACAGTGATAGGGCTAGAAATGGTCAGAGCCAGAGCAGAGTCCAGGTCTTCTCAATCCTGATCCAGTGTTTCTTTCTTACTTTAGTTCAGTGGTTCTCAAAGTCCAGAGAGCTCGTGAGGAATGCAGATTCTCAGGCCCCACCCCAGACTGACTGAGCCCAAAGCTCTAGGATGGGGCCCAGCAGTCTGTGTTTGCACAAGCTTTCTAGGTGGTTCTGCTGCCCTCCTGGGCTCCCCACCCAGCCTCCTGGGTGCTGGGTCCTTAGCGAGATGAACACAGTGAGAACGCAAGGTGGGCAGTGGCCCACAGCCCAGACACCCTCCTCACTGTCCTCATGGCCAGGTCTGCTCCTCCTCCAGACTCCGGGGAGACGGAGACATGAACGTAATGTCAGGGCCTGTGGGGGTCCTGAGGTAATCTGAGTCCAGAGGAAGGGGATCCCCACCCCAGCTGGTCGGGACTGGCTCCCAGAATGGGAGTTTCACACTGGTTCTCTGCATAGTGCAGGAGCCCATGCCTGCTTTTCTGGCTTCTCAGGCCCGTAGGTTTTCCCAAGACTAGACAAGGGGAACTGAGGGTCAGCCCAGAGGCAGCATGAGCCTGGCACCCGCAGTGCCCAGGCCCTGGTGGCGGTGTGGCTTTGGGCCCTCGAGGCTGCCCAGCTGCCGGGCCCTGCCCGCTTCCCCTCCTGCGCCCACCAATTGCTCATTTCCCCATTTGCTTTCTCTTCAGCTCATAAAACTCAAGTCCTTCACTACTCACTCTGGCTTTTAAAAAAAAAAAAAAAAAACTCAAGTCCTGGCAATGCCTGTGAGGATTTCCAGTTGGTAATAAAAGGGAGGTGGAGATAAGGGCAGGAATTTAGGGGAAATTTCTTTCCTCTTCCTTGCTGATGTGAGGTTTGGGTCTCTGGTGCTGAGCCTGTGGCGTCAGGGCTGAGACCTTTCATGTGGGAGGACGAGGGCTGGTCGCCAGGCTGCCTCCTTCACCAGTGCTGGCTCCGAGCAGCTGAGGCTCCCCTGCCAAGCCCCAGCCCCACGCCTGCCAAACGAGTCCTGCCCGCCCAGCTCCCTCCGCGCCCCCAGGCCCACCTTGCTTCTCAGCCTCTTGGCCTGTGCACTGGCCCTCTCTTGTAGCCCCCGACTCCGCCTGGCTCTGGGACTCCCCATCGGCGCCATCCACCAGGACTGTCGGGGATGACGGCAATGTCTCCTCTCAGCCGTCCAAGGCTGAGCTTGTGGCTGTGTAGTGATTGTCCTCGTTAGCCATGGAATTTTTGTCCTTTACCATTAGGACTAGATTCCCCTCCTGGTCCTTTCTGCTTTGTGTCTGAGCACAGCTCCGAAGGAATTGAGTCACCTTCCTCCATCTAGGGAATTATTAAGACGATGAGAGTGGTACCGTTTCTCTGGTTCATCCCCCATCCTGCCCCGAGCCCTGTAATCTCCTGGACATGCTTCAAGGCCAGCTCAAGTGTTGCCTTCTTAGAGAAATCATTCACAAACCCTCCTTTCTTTGCCCTGCTTTCTCCCTCTTTTCTACTGGCAAAGAGCTCACAGGTTGTGATTAAGCTCTGGGTTCAAATCTCAGTAAGACCACATACTTAACTGGGTGACCTCAGGCAAGTTAATTAACCACTCTGTGCCTGTGTTTCCTCATTTGTAAAATGGAAATAATAAAAGTACCTACCACCCATGATGGTTGTGAGGGTTAAAAGAATTAATATATGTGAAACACTTAGAATGGTGCCTGACACATAGTAAACAATAAATGCTAGCTGCGTTTACTAGAGGTTCATTTTTTCTTTCTTTCTTTTTTTGAGACAGAGTCTTGCTGCTCTGTCACCCAGTCTAGAGTGCCCATGGGGTCAGCTTAGCTCACAGCAACCTCAAACTCTTGGGCTCAAGTGATCCTCCTGCCTCAGCTTCCCAAGTAGCTGGGACTACAGGCACACACCACCATTTCTGGCTAATTTTTTCTATTTTTAGTAGAAACAGGGTTTCACTCTTGCTCAGGCTGGTCTTGAACTCCAGACCTCAAGCAATCCTCCCACCTCAGACTCCCAGAGTGCTAGGATTACAGACGTGAGCCACCATGCCCCAGCCACTGAGGTTCTTAACACTCCCTGTTCTGTGTTCTAGTTTCACCGTGTTCATTCTGGCACTTACCACTACGTCAATGCCTGCGTTTCCATCTAGCCAGGGAGCTCCTCGGAGGGCAGGGAGCTTTCCTGATTCCTCTTTGTGTCCCCAGTCACTGTCCTAGTCCCTGCAGAATGGGAAGTCAGTGAGTGGGTGTTGAATACATGAGTGACTAAGTGAGGGAACAAGCCAGGGGCTTCTGTGGTGTCCCAGTTTTTAGCCACTGTGTGCCAAGTCACCTGGCCCTTTCTCCACCACGTCTCTCCTCTGGAATGTGAGGGGCTCAGGAAAAATGGGCTAATTAATTCCCTTCACCTCAAAATGTTTTAGACTCTGGGATTAGAGATGAAGGTGAGTTTTTGCCTGGGGCTAAGAAGTGAGGCATGGACAAAATGGGAAGGCTCTTTTGGGACATGCACCTGGTTACAGGTCCCTGAGATTGAAGCGTCCACATAGACCCATGGTCAGCTGTGACCTGTGCTTCGGGTAGGGCCCAGGCTTCCGTGTGTGGTCTGGACAGTTTCCATGCAGAGGGTAGAGAGGCTGGGCCTGCTTGCTCTCCAGCCCAGGCAGCTGTGTAATTGGAATCATGGGGAGACTGCGGTGCCCAGGGAGCCCCATGACTCTGCTCATGGTACTCAGGGTCTCATCTGCTCCTAGGCATCCAGGACTCCAGGACACCAGTTACTGTGCTGGGTGTCCAAGGGTCCCTGGCCCTCCCTTGCCACCCTAGCCTCCAGAGGCCATGGTGGCGGTGGTGCCTCAAGAGCCACTGCCCGTGAGCTCCCTAGCAGCAGTAGGATAGGGGCTACCCAGGGCTTAGGGTCTCCTGATAAAGTACATACAGGATGTCTAGTTACATCTGAATTTTAGATAAACAACAAATAACTTTTTAAGCATAAATTTGCCCTATTTGGGACACATTTATACTAAAAATTATTCATTGTTTATCTGAAATTCACGTGTAACTGGGCATCTGGTATTTTTATCTGGAAATCTGGCCAGAAAGGAGAGAAGGAATTGGTCACTTGTCATCGTTTTAGCCACTCTTCCACCTCGGTTCAGGGAGAAGGTCTGGACGGTACTTTAGCATCATGCACTAAGAAGGGATCTCTCAAATTTTAAATGGCTCTCTGGAAAAGTGAGGCTTGGGGAGTGTATCAGTTTCCTGTTGCTGCTATAACAAATTACCACAAACTTAGTGGCTTTAAACTACACAGATTTATTATCTTACAATTCCAGGGGTCAGAAGTCTGAAAGTCAGGTGTCAGCAGGGCTGCGTTCCTTCCTGGGGATTGGAGGCGTCGGGGGTGTCTAGAGGAAAATCCATTTTCCTGCCTTTTCCAGCCTCTAGAGACTGTCACACTCCTTGGCTAGTGGCCCCTGTCCATCTCCAGGGCCAGCAAGGGCCTAGCGAGTCTTTCTCATGTTACATTACTCCGACATTGTTTCTTCTGCCTCCTTCTTCCACATTTAAAGGATCCTTGTGATTACATTCGGTTCACTCAAAATATCCAAAATAATCTCCTTATTTTAAAGTCAGCTCTTTTTTTTTTTGAGACAGAGTCTCACTTTTGTTGCCCTGGCTAGAGTGAGTGCCATGGCATCAGCCTAGCTCACAGCAACCTCAAACTCCTGGGCTCAAGCGATCCTCCTGCCTCAGCCTCCCAAGTAGCTGGGACTACAGGCATGCACCACCATGCCCGGCTAATTTTTTGTACATATATTTTTAGTTGGTCAATTAATTTCTTTCTATTTTTAGTAGAGACGGGGTCTCGCTCAGGATGGTTTTGAACTCCCAACCTCGAGCAATCCGCCCACCTCGGCCTCCCAGAGTGCTAGGATTACAGGCGTGAGCCACCGCGCCCGGCCTAAAGTCAGCTCTTTAGCAGCCTTAATCCCATCTGCGATCTTTATCCCCCGTGCTATGTAATATAATGTATTCGCAGGTTCTGTGGGTTAGGACGTGGCTATCTCTTTTCCTACCGGTGTTTCCCTCTCCTCCCTGCAGTTTGCTCATGGAGTCCCAGACCTGGCGCTGAAGGACATTGCCTGCAGCAAGGCCCTCTTGGAGCGCTTCATCATCTTCAGCCAGCGACATGGGGCACAGACAGTGTACCAGGCCATGTGCCCCCTCTCCCAGGGCACCCTGCAGTGGGTAGAAG